GTTTATAAACTATGACATTTATAAATGTATGAATCATTTGGTGAAAAACTGTCTTTGAAAAATAAATCTGTTCTTTTTTTCTTATAAAAGACTAAATAAAACAAAAATATTGGTGGTAATTTTTGACTGTGTAACGTTACAAACAGCACCTCATACAGGATCCCAAAGATGATTACAGAACTGGTACAAGTTTCAAAAAGTGAAAGTTCACCTGGTTTTTTTAAACAGACCATTTAGTGCCAGTTATTTGTCCACGCAGGTTATTCAACCTGTGACTCATGAGCTGCAGGAAGTCCCTGTCTCAGTTTCTGCTCCTGTTGTAGTTTTTTTCCTCCTGGGTAGTTTTTTTTTTCAGCTGATTTACAAGAAGGGGACCTATAAATCCTAATAAAATGTGATAATGGTAATTGGTTTCTGTCTGTCATATTTTTGATACATTTATTTACATGTTATTTTAATTTTAGTTTTGATGTTTTGGAGATGGATTTTGTGAAAAAGATAAACACAATTAATAATTTATCTGTTGATGATACTCAGAATATTCTCAGACTTGATAAATAAGTTTATTCCAACCAGACTGACAGCTTGTTTGAGTCCAAGGCTAAAGTTGAAGCTGCCATCTTAAAACTCAACTCCAAAAATGTCTGATTCATGCTGACTGCAGTTTGTTTCACTGAACTGTTATTCCAACAGAAAATATTCTGTTTTCCTGGTATTTTTTCTTACTCTCAGACTTACCTGTGATTCCTACAGGTTTTAAATGTAGAGCAGAAAGCAGAGCTTTGCTATCAAGATTCTCTCTTGTGGAACCAACTTCCAGTTTCTGTCTGTGAGGCTGAAACTCTGTCTACTTTAAAAACTAGGTTTTTTTAAAATAAATTCTATATTGAGGGTTGGTCTGTATTTACTTTCCATATTTTTACGCACCCGCTTCGGATGTTATTGTCGTATATTTTCAGGTGTGTGGCCCTTTAAGACGGAAGCGAGCATCAGGCACGCGCACGCTTCTTGGTTCAGGAGCCTCAGTGTAACATCTAGCTGGGTGGACGGTCTTTCGTGTCTCTCGTCAATAAATATGTCCAAAGCTGAAGAAATAGTCTTTTCGTCATTCAAATGTTAGACTAGAGTTTATTGACATGTGACAAGTCTTCAGAGGAGCAAGCCACAGCCAGCCGGAGCAGCAGCCACCGTAAGCAGCACCAGCCCCGAAGCAGAAGTGAGCAGACGAGGGAGAGAGAAGAGTCCAGCAGCTGACAGCCTCAGAACCGAACAGAAACGGAACCAGAGACACTACATTATCATTCATGAAATGGGTGTTTTTAGGCGTTATCAGTCTCCTAGAATGGCTTCAGAATGTCCCGCCTGTGCCGCTTAGCAGGTTCCCCRTCCCATAGAATGGCTTCTGATTGTCAGCTGGTTAATATGAGGCATAAAACCACTATCTGGTTAATATGAGGAATTAAAAAAACTGGTTAATATGAGGCATAAAACCACTAAGGTTAACCTCAGAGCAAATGACATGGTTAGTGCTAAAGACACCGCCCTCCAACGGTTGTATATTGTGGTCTTCCAAAAGTGCAATGGGTAGAGTGTCAGACCAGAGAGCGGGAGACCAGGGTTTGAGACGGACACAAAAAATTTATTACAATATCTTTTTGGTTATTAACACATTCATTGTCATTGATATATTAACCCACTGGGGGAGCACTGTCGGGACAGTCTGAAGCCTAGGAGGCACAGTAGGGACCCTCTGAAGCCATTGTATGGGACTGATAACGCCTATTAACGTCCATTTCATGGACATGCATATATGCTCTAAGAAACATTTTTTCTTAATTATTTGACTCTCATAGAACCCTAACCTGGACCAGTCATTCTGTGTTTGTCTTATTCCTGTCCCACCCGGTCAAGACAGACGATTAATCCTGAGCCTGGCTCTGCTGGAGGGTTCTTCCTGTTAATAGCAGTTCATTCCTTTCAACCGTCCCTGTGTGCTGCTCAGGATGCACTGAAAAAAATTAGGAGCACTATTTACTTAGAAAAGGCTACACAAAATTTTCCACATAGAAAGTCTGTGTAATTTTCACTTGAAAATGTCAAAGTTAATTTTACTTAGTAGTAAAACATGTTTTTAGTCAATTTCCCTGGTACATTTCTCACAATATGTACTCCTACTTGGCTAGTAAATTTTATTTAACCCAAACTTTTTATTAAGTTACTAAACTTTAAAAAAAGGAGCTTACTTTCTGTGTTTTTTAAAGTAATATATTTAAGTAGTTTTTACTGAATAATGTAAATCTCACAGCTATTAAATTCATGTTTTTTTTTTTTTCATTTAAAATCTACACTCACCGGCCACTTAATTAGGTACACCATGCTAGTAACG